TAACATTTCGAACTACCAACCTGCTCAAACCCCCAGTTCTATAGATCCCATTAGCGCCCATGTTCCACTAAAAATTAAACAAAAAATTTGGGAGGGAAAATTTGTCGATCTATCCATACTATTAAAATCGGCGCGGGAAATCTCAGATCACTTAGATACACAAGGCCAAATACAAATACGCAACGGCACAATGTGCCTTGTGAAGCATAAACCCCGCACCTTTTTGTCAATCGACAAATGGACTTCAGCCTTCATCATCTTCACAAGTATTATGTTAGAAAAATATAGATCTAGAGCCCAAGAATTTCTGAAATATATGAGGGATGTAAGAATGGCAACCGACAGATCTGGGAATGGTTGGTTCACATATGATGAACAATTTCGGCTTCGCAAAGTGTCAGACCCACACTCATCTTGGGGAATCATAAACTCTGAACTGTGGTTGATCCATGTCACCAACAATTACACCATGCAGGCCCAAGAAAAGCCCATATCTCCCACACAAAATTTTTTCCCCCAACATAAACAGCCCAATATACCAGCAGCTAAGAAAAAGGTAAATTCAGCACCCAATCGTTACTGTTACGATTTTAATTCAGGCAAGTCATGCAAATTCTACCCAAATTGCAGGTTTGTCCACTCGTGCAATTCATGTGGCGGATCACACCCCTCGATCAAATGCAGGAATAGAAATACCCAATTCTAACGAGGATATCAACAGTTTAGGAAAAACTCCAATTGATGTCTACAATTTGTCTGCTTATCTACAAGGTTACAGTGCTAAATCTTTTCTCATAAACGGTTTCCTACATGGTTTTCAACTCCAGTACAATGGCTCAAGAATTTACAAGGAATCAAAAAATTTAAAAAGTGCTATAGTAAACCCCAGTATAGTGGAACACAAAATACATAAAGAACTCCTGCTCCAGAGGGTAGGGGGACCATTTGAATACCCACCATTCCCATCCCTTCAAATCTCACCATTAGGACTTGTCCCCAAAAAAGATGGAGATTTTAGACTCATCCATCACCTGTCCTTCCCAGAACATCAATCAATCAATTCCTTTATAGATCCAGCTGCATGTTCAGTACACTACGCATCAGTGGACGACGCAGCAGCCATCATCGCGACACTGGGGGCAGGTACTTTATTAGCTAAATCCGATATAAAATCTGCATTCCGGCTCATTCCTGTGGCCAAAAAATGATTTTGATCTATTGGGGTTTAAATTCCAGGGTAAATACTTTTTTGACAAAATGATGCCATTCGGTGCATCCATCAGCTGTGCAATCTGGGAGAAGTTCGCAACTGCATTACATTGGATCATTCAATCTAGCTCACGTAACCCCCATATTCTACACTATTTAGATGATTTTCTCTTCGCGGGACCACCAAATTCTAATCGGTGCCAATCTACCCTCGACCTTTTCAAAAACATCTGTAGCCATATCGGAATACCAATAGCTCTTGACAAAACCACCAAGCCCAGCACAACAATAATTTTTCTAGGAATTGAATTTGACACTATCCACATGGTAATGCGACTTCCGCAAGACAAGTTAGTTTCTCTCCGACAAAGCATTCAAACAGTCATGATAAGTAAAAAGGTCTCCTTAAAGGCCTTACAATCACTGATTCGTCTCCTCAATTTTGCCTGCAAAACAGTAGCACCTGGCAGAGCCTTTTGCAGGCGACTAGTTGATGCCACTATTGGTATCAAAAACCATATCACATGATAAGAGTTAATCAAGGTATGAAAGCACACCTTGCAGTATGGCAGCAATTTTTGAAACACTTTAATGGGGTCACAGTCATATGCTCTGGTATTTGGTCATCAGATAACAGTCTACAACTATTCACAGAGAGTGCAGGGGGGTTTAATGGGGGGTTTGGAATCTTTTTTGCTGGCCGCTGGGCTCACTCAAAATGGCCTACCCACTGGGTGTTTTCTGATGTGATTCGTAACATGACATTCTTAGAACTATTTCCAGTATATGTTTCACTCCTGTTATGGCACCCATGGTTATCAAATAAACGCATACTTTTCCACATTGACAACATGGCAGTTGTACAAGTCATTAACACATTGACATCTAAGTCAACAAGGGTAATGAACATTGTCAGAAAACTTGTTCTCCTCACTTTGCAACATAACATCACAATTAAAGCCCAACACATCCCAACAAAACTGAACAAAATAGCTGACAGTATTTCTCGTTCACAGTGGGGAAAGTTTCGCAACCTGGCTCCAGAGGCAGAGATGTGGCCCACACAGCTCCCCAAGCAGATATGGGAAATTTAATTGCTGAGTCCAAACGCCTTATTCATAGCTCCTTATCACAAAACACCTACAAAGCTTACCGGGCTGCACTGAAGAAATTCCAATCATTTTTAAACATTTATGGCTTACAGCAAACCTGGCCCCTGCACAGCAACATATTACTGTATTTTATAGCCTACCTATCCATCCAAAAAATGTCACCCAATTCAATGTCCCTTTACATTAGTGCATTGTCATACTTCCACAAAATAAACCATCTTCCTGACCCTACCAAGTCCTTCCAAATCAACAAAGCACTTCAAGGCTTAAAGCGCAACAACAGAGTTGTTCCAGACAACCGCCTCCCAATAACCCTACCAATTTTGGAAAAGCTTGTTATATCGCTACAGTCAGTGTGTTGCTCTACTTACGAGGTCAAACTGTTCACATGTGCTTTTTCATTAGCATACTTTGCATTACTTCGTGTAGGGGAATTCACTTTTATCAACTCAAACACGGAGAATTCATCCCATTGCATACAACTCAAACACATTCAAGCACATCCACACAAGCCCTATTTAAGGTTAACCATACCACACTCCAAAACTGACCAGGTTGGTAAGAATACCACCTTTATTATCCATAGCCAGCCACTTGCCACCCTGTGCCCAGTTAAAGCTACCTTGGATTTTATCGAGTGTAGGCCCCATACCCCTGTTAACCACAGTTTTCTAATTCATCTTAATACAAAAACATTGACGAGATACCAATTCAACGCAGTCCTTCAAAAGGCTATTGAAAACATATTACCAACACCAGGCCATTTTGGCACACACAGCTTTCGAATTGGGAGGGCAACAGACCTTGCATTACAGGGCACGTCCGATTCTGAAATTCAGAAGTTTGGTAGATGGAAATCAGTAGCTTTTCTTAAATACATAAGGATCATGTAGCTTGGTTCACAATAACATTCCCATACCTACTAGGACTACAGACATCTACTCATCGATGCGGGGGGGGGGGGGATATTTGGACATGTGTATAGTCAATTTAAAATTCAAAACTAACCAACCCAAAGCATTGCAGGTCTAAAAATATGGATCATAGGATCATCCATTCCTTTTTGGGCAGGGGAAGCAGCCAAACACTACCCAGGGGGACAAAGCCTGAACCTCCCTGCCACACTGCTATGGAGATCACGCAGGGGGATGCAATGGCAGGAATTAGACCCACAAATCCTACAGCTCATCAAACATGAAGTACCCCCAAATTACTTAGTAATTCTTCTAGGATCCAACGATTTGGTAACTCCAAACTTAACTAGCAAAAAATTCATACAAGAGATTCAGTGCAGCTTCCTGCGATATAATGCCCTTCTCCCAAATACTAAATTGGTGTGGTCACACATTCTACCACGCCGTTATTGGCATGGAGCTCCATTGAACAGTGGAAAAAAGATACACAAAAAACGTGAAAGAATTAACAAAAATATCTCAAAATTTGTCACAGAAATGGGTGGGGGTGTAATTTTACATGCAAACATATCTGTTGCCAATCCGGACTTGTTTAGATTTGATGGCACCCACCTCTCCGAGCTTGGCAACAGAACTTTCTTAAATAACGTAAAAAGTGGATTGTGGTCCCTCATTCAAGGGAAGGGAAAAGTATCCCCTAATGTAAAGTAATGGAGGAACATCATATCGATGTCTGTGGCGGGTCCGGAGGGATGAGTGGGAGGGTTGTGAACACATCTGGCTCCTTGTTTCCCTGCCCAGCCATCAGACAAGTTGGTGGGTACATTGTTGGGTAGACAGGTTGTCTACAAAGTATCCAACCTATGGCAATGTGTAATAAAAGTCAAGTAAAAAGACAAAAAGTTTTCGATTGGGGTCGTAGCCAAGTCTGCAGGCCTGGGGCCCCCTCCACCTCTTGTAACAGGAGGGGAGGCTTAGTACTGGAGTACTTGGGTGTAAAAGTACTGCTGACCAGAAGCAATCACCGGAAGCAGGGTATACAGATGTGCTCGCAAATCTCTCGGTCCCTAATGTCTAGTACCTAAATTTGGGATCTCGGGCATCTGTGACCAACACAGGGCCACTGGTTTTGCCCGGTACTTATTAGTCGGTATGCCAGCTATCCCTCCTGGACCCTAATTTTGATTGTACATTTATGCAATGCGGCCATTTAATGCCAATTCCCTGATGTCCATCACAGTTATGAGTAATGCAAGATTGTATATGTTTTTGTTCAAGTCTTTAATAAATGTAATGAAAATTATACAGCTGTTGTCTATTGTAAAGCTGGCACCAAGGAAAGGTCATGATGACTCCATGTGTAAAAAGAATCAAGTAACAATGCATGTCAGGTCCTGCGGGGCAGTGATTACCTGACTGTTCAATTGAATGCTTCGTATTTGATTATTTTGACGGTAGCCACGTGTCTTTGGACAATGATATATGGGAGATATACGACATGGATCCGGGAGGAGTGCGAAAATCGCTGGCAGGTGGATAATAAAGATTATATATTATATTTATCATATGAAATTAATGGTAAAATGTACAGCATAAAAAGATAATGTGCAACATCCAATATGATTATTATTTTAAAGATGAATTACATTTCAATGATGATAATAATGATAATTAAGATGAAAACAACGATGATTATTTTCAGTGTACGAACAACAGAAATAACAAATTTACAATTGTAAATTTGTTAATGTCCAATTTAATGATATTAATCCTCTTTAATTGCTGTTGTGGTCAACTCTGGATCTGCACTGTCAGCATTTGTTTGACATGGCAAGATACAGTTTTTCTGAAAATTGTTAATGCCAATCAAAGTTTATAAACATAAAAGAATGAAAGTTTATCCTTTATATTATAATTTTAATCAGAATTATGTTAATTCATTTAATTACTTTCATTGTTCTCAAAATTGCTCCGATATCAATTTTTACAATGTAGTTGTTTAATTGCCTGTTTTATGATGAAGATAAACTTAATATAGGTATGCATATAAAATGAGAAACATTGAGAAAAGTCATTACAAGGTATTTCTTTAACACAGAGTGCACATAAACACCATAAAATATATGTATGTACAACACCTTTAAATAATTCAATTGTCTTTTCAACCGTAAGTTTTCCTCTCTTTCGGCCACTTTTACGTTTTCAAGATTTTGCTGCATCTGAAAATAGAAGAGCATATATAATTAAATTGTCGAAAAGTATAATTAAATACTCGAACAAATAAATAAAATTTTTGCAATTTCTTCTGGGGAAAAATCCAATATGCATTGTTTTTGGTAAATCTGATGTTTGATCCACAAATGGTTATACTTTTCGGTAGATGGTGATATAAAGATATTTTTTTTAAACACCCTTGTGGTATTACATATAAAAAAATGTTGATTTTTTTTCTAGTTTTTTTTTTATATGTAATAGGAAAAATAGGATTTACCTTTGTTTTTCTTATTCTCTCTCTTAAAAAAGCAGACAAGGTGTACAATATTGGGTTGAGGGCGGAGTTAACAGGTAGAACCAGCACTATTATCCAGGCGTAAACCTCAGGAGATACATCAATTCCAGAGAATGTTAACATGCCTTAAAGAAGATCTATGCTCGTATATATTATAATTTTATTGAAGAAAATTTGAAATTTGTCTTATTTAATCATTTTTAATGTCAAAACATTTTGTTTAAAAACCCTCCTTAGGAAAAAAAAACTTTATTATTTAGCAAGTGTTTGTTTTCTGTATACTGAGTTTATTCAAGATTAAAAAAAAAACAAAAGACAAAGAACAAAAACAAAGAATTGCAATTTTTTGTCAAAGATTATACAATCTTCACGAGTTTATTTGAATGCTTAGACATTTTGACTGGATTTATTTCATGTGACCAATTGGAAAGATGGGACCTTTTTATTCTTTTTTAATTAGCTACGACAGTATTAATTTTGAAAAGACTAATAATGAAAATCAAAAAGCGAAATACTTCGTAAAAGTTAACAAAAATAATTACATAAAGTAAAATGAATCTCCCGAAGAAAATTATTTCGAGAAAAACAATATTACTTTATTGCCATAGTATGCATACACTCTGATTGTATGGTCGCATTCATCCGAATAATAATATACGATTCCCCACGCTTCCGGAGTAAAATTCTGCCAGTAGCGAAGAAAGTTATAAAAAATTAATAATTTTTGCAACTTATCTTCAATTATGCTTTCAATGGCAAGTACAAATGTAGAGTAAGGTTTAACTAATCATATCTATGGCTTGTGATAAAGTAAATAGAGCACAATAAAGTATAGGAAGATATGAAATTTATTTTTATGCTTACATTTTACGACGATGTCCGTACAATTAAAAAGTTGTTATGAACTGACTTCTAAAAACTCTTAAATTCTACCTCACATTTCAAATACTGTGGAATCATAAGATTTTATGGTGGCTCAATTTTAGAGGAATTCGTGGGTACCCCACATCCACGAATTAATAAACTAGGGTTTCATAGTCATTTTTCCTTTTGACAGTATGAGTGATACACGAAAGTACGTCACCATGAACCTGCAAATTTTAAGCAATCCACGAAAATTGGTCCCCACGAATTTTTATCATACCTTTATGAATAAAACGTATTTCTACACCTTTAAATTAAACAACTATTGTGTTAGCAAATTCATCAAAACTATAATTTTGACAAATATTCATATTCTAATTACCGTACACGTTTTGCAGTAATGATGTTGAATATGAATGACGAATGCTTCCGATCCCTTTATGCATTATAGATATACCTTTAAAAATGTTCACTTTATTCTTAAGAAATACAATTCAACAAAAATATGAAAATACCTATTATTCCTATGGGAATCCAGCAGAAAAGGTCTGTAACAACAACAGCACAAACCGACTTGGCAAGCGCTATGTCTCGTTGAAGGGTGCCTGAAGATTGGACTTTCCTTCCAGACTTAATAACCTCGAAAAGTATCATAAATTGTCCAACCAAAATACCAAGAAACAGAAAGAAATTAAAGCCGACAAAAACGGCCACAGAATATTGCCAACCAGATTTTCTGTGAACGGATAACGGCAGATAGATACAAATAGAGGTTTGAGCGTAGAAATCATAAAAACTGGATAAATCCATTGGCAATATAGGAAATACTGCCAAGGAAAGAGAAATCACCCATGACAAGATTGAGAGCAATGAAGCCCCTACTTTTGTCAAACGCCTCCATGACAACGGGTTTCTGATAGCTAGAATCCTGTCGAGAGTTATCAAAGAGACAAAAAGAGCGGATGATTCACTCGAAGTAGTAGCTATGATGCCGGCTACGGTACATAGCGTACTATGTCTCCACGAGTAATCCTCTAATCCATACGTCCCAGTGTACACCAAATTGATAAAAGCTATGATATACAGATACAGACCCATCAGCATGTCTGAAAAGTTAAGGTTACACGTAAAGATTGAATATGCAGAAATAGCCCTGCTCCTAAATGAGAGAAAATTGTAGAGAAAGGCTATGATGTTTCCAAAAGTCGCAATTAATGCCATGTACCAGATAAACACGTTTAATGTAGGAACGCTGATTAATTGATCACAAGAAGATAACTCACTTGATGGAGCAATGCATTGAACGTCAAAGACACTGCGTGGTTTTGCGCAACACACAGAAAAGAAATCCACTTTCAAAACTTTGAGATTAAACAAACCGAGAAACAAGCCTTCTTTAGCCAATATGTTATTGTTATGGATGTAAAGTGTTTGTAACTTTTCCATGTTCAGAAAAAGACCTCTGTTTATTGAAGCTAGTTTGTTGTTCGAAATGTCAAGTGAATATAATTTTCTCAAATTAATAAATGCTTCTGTTTGAATTGATTCAATTTGATTAGAATTTAAAAATAAAGCAAAGAGATTTGTAAGTGTCGAAAAAAGGTTTTTATCTATTCTTACTAATGAATTATTTGAAAGATCTAGAACGTATAAATTTCTGAGACCCGCTAAAGCATTTTCTTCAGTTTCATTAATCAGGTTGCTTTCAAGATTTAGATATTTTAAATTTTGAAATCTATCAAAATCTTTAACACTTATTCTTTTAAGTGTATTGAAACCGAGGTCCAGAGACTGAATGTTTGTAGTTAAAATTCTTGAAATCAGAATTGCACTCTCTAGACTGAAATGGCGCAAATGTAAATGTATACAATTTTCTAAAATGTGTTTATGTGCAGGTGTGAAATAATTTACACTATCAGACTGAAACATTTTGATAGAGAGATCAAAAATATTATATATAGAAACATGCCCCTGTCGTAGAATGAATTGACCTACATAAATATAATTTTGAAAGAATGGTACATAAAAATACACCCGACTTGCAAAACTGTCATCTGGTGCCATTGCAGTCATGTCCAAGCTGTACTTTAAAAAGTCAAACGAGAAGAATGCAGTAAAATTCCTCAAAAGCATACTTTCGTCGTCCCTCGATATTGTAAATCTTAATTTTTGATTTTTTTCTTTATGAAAAATGTCAAATTGAAAAGACTTGAAGCTACAATCAATCAGGGAAATAGTTTCCATGTTACCTTGCTCTAACGATAACCTTAAAGTTTCGAACACGCTTTCATGTAAATAGATGTGTCGTAAACTACTGGAATGCCTTTCCTCTACCTCCAAGGACTTTACACGTGAATTTGTTAGATTTAATGAATAAATGTCAAACACAGTAGCTTCTTGGAGAGTAATTTTGTCACATACCAGACTCTGCCACACCAGAAAGTTATAAAAACCACGAGAAAGAACAGAACAAATATTCTTAACAGAAGAGCAGTTGCTTAGTTCTGGGAAAAAAGAGGTCATTTTACAGGAAATAGAAAAGAGACGGTGAAAGGAACCTTGTAGCACATTTGTAACATTAAAAGAACCAGCGGCATCCCCTTCAAATTCAATGACTGAATTATTTTTATCATCGGTTGTTTGTGAGTGGAGATAATCATTCAGACTGGTGGTAGAACCTGAATAAATTATAATGAAAAGAAATTTCTTAACTTGTACATATACATTTCTTCAATTTCGAAACAAAAAACCACAAAAACAGATATGTCAAACTATTTTAAAACATACATAAGATAACAAACAAACAAAAAAGTATTGATGATTGTTGCATTAAATGGTGGCTTATTTACAGCTTTCTGCTGTTTCTTTATTATCTCGTATGACTGAGTTAACAATAAAAACCGAAGAAGGTTTTTGTTCAGTATAAAAATGAAATGAATAATCTTAAGATATTTAAAATGAGGAATTACGAACTCTTTCATGACATTTTTAGAAATACAAACAGCAAATGTAAATGCTAGTATGTAAGTGATGTATCTATATTCTATCCAGGTTTTTTTTTTTTGTAAGGACAGAGGCACAAACGCGGGCGAAAACATAAGTTCATTATGCCTCATTTATTTTTCGCGCTTTGTCATCTCTGAAGATTAATGATAACGTTGTCAGATGAAATCAAACCTGCGAAATAAACCAATCAAAATTTTAAAAACGATTTGCAGCATGCTACACAATGACGTCATTGAGGGATAATTTTTGGTTGATTGATGTAAAAAAATAAATAAATAAAACACTCAGAAAAATGAATCTTACAGTTCTCTTCATCGCTTCCACCTCTGCAGTCTGGGACACCATCACAAAGGAAATTCACGTCAATACACTCATCACTTTTGGGGCATCTAGTTTCTCCGATCATGCAAAACGCGGTGACTGTGAAATATAGCTTAATTAAAAATCAAAACAAAAAATGGGGGTCAATATGCTTCTTTTGGCGCTACAATACATTTAATATGACTTTTTTGCACTGAAATTTGTGTCTTAATCAAAAATCACATCGTCGACGTTTTCCCTCCAATGTTTTTATCCAAATAAATCATGGGACAAAATAAACTATTAGTCACAATTTTAAAGAAGACACTTTAAAATTGTGACTAACAAAAAGTTTCAAATTGCTTCGCATAATCAATTATTTGACCTTTCTGCACTCAAGAATGTGATTTTTCTGGCATTAAAAATTTAACAAGCAAGAAAATTATTTTAAAGTCTTAAACTTTTGCTGAATTTAGGCATGTTGATCAAAGTTATCTTATATATTCAGAAAAGAAAAACAAAAGTGGGGGTCTATGATATAAATTTTTAGATATTACTAAAAACAAGTGCTAATTTTATGTTAAAATTGGCGAAATTTTTTTCTGGACTTTCAGAATATATTTACTATATTTGTCACAATATAATGAAAGAATTCATAAGAAATAATTTAATAGATATTTCAGAACCAGCATAAAACATTTCACTGCAAAAAACAGCTCAGTGTGCAACCAAAATGGAAAAATAAGAATGTAAACTTAACAGTAGTGTATATATTTCAAAAGGGAAATATTTATCAATTTCTCCTAAAAAACCTTCCGCCACAAAATATAGTTCCTAGCTTAATCCTATTTGAATGGAATTTAATCGCGGTCTTTTCCTTGGATATAATTTAATTTGCATTGTAGAATCCAGATTTAATGTTTGAACTTAAAAATGATGCAGAATTTTACAAATAAAGGTCCAGACCAAAATCTGCACAAAATCTCAGGAATGAACCTCCTTAACAAGTAATAATAACCACAAGCATGAAGATAATCAAAACTGTCATTGTCAGGAAATTAAGTACGGTAGGGATAGCATGACTCAATGGAATGTATAGCACAATAAATTTCATCCCTTTATAACGTGTGTCTAAGTTAAATGATAAATTATTATTAGATTTCATATCTTTAATAGATTATGACATTGATATAGATATCGGGTACAGGAGTGAGCAATAAAATTCTTTACCTTTGCAGGAACCGTTGGAGATTGATATATCATTAAGATATGCGTAGCCTGATTCATTGTTAAAGAAAGCTCGAAATATTATCTGAAGTATGGAAAAACAATTATTAAAGCTGTATGTATTTAATACTTAATAACTGCAATCATTACAAACAATAATACAGACTTGTAAATATCTTTGCACCGCCATAAGGAAGGGCGGGAAAAAAAGTTAACGTTATTAATCAAACTGTAAATTCCTTATTTTACAAGAGTATTTCATTAGATTTCTTATTTTACGCGAGTACATTATTTGGAAGAATGACTCATATGTACGTCCAACCGCGAGAACAAAAACTCGTAAGTGGATTGTTGGTTAATAGAAATATTATTTCGCTAGAGGGGCTTGTTGCCAAATAAAGCAATATGCATGTATTTAGGATTGTATTTAATTAATTGTAAACCGTACATAGTACCTTAGCTCGTGGTAAAACTGGGAGGTCAACGGTCATTTTCTGGAAATAAAGATTGTGTGTATGGTGAGCTGCTGGTAAGGATCCAAGGTCGAAGATGCTTGCGTCTGATGGTAAACATGAAACAGTAAGATTTGCACTTCCACCTATCAGGTAAAAGTACCGAAGACACCTTAACTCGTAGGATAAAGGCAGTTCCTTGCTTACCAGAAACGACAAGTATGTGTCGCTTTCGTTTCGTGACGTCGATAAAACATTCCTTGAAAGTATGGCTGTATTTTCCAATCGCGTAGACACTTGTTGAAGAGAAAATATTATTAAATTTAATAGTTTCACTTCAGGTATTATTTTAATTGCACTTTCTAAACAAAGTTCTAGGGTATTGTTATTATATCCGTCCGTCCGTCACACTTTCCTGAAATAATGTTTTAGAATTTATTTAAGGTCTACGAACATTGGTGTGTATTTAAAAAAAATACCTTGTAATTGCTCAAACATTTAGGTAGCAAGAAAACAACTTTTTTAAACATTTTTTTTTACAAATTGTTGGCCATATAATGTAAATATTCAGTAAAATTTTGAATATTTATCCCTGTCCAATGGCTTCCCACTGGTTCAAAATGTTGTCATTCCATGTGAAAGTTTATCATTGGAATTCCCTTTACATCTTAATTGTGGAATAGTGTGGCTAAGGTAACAAACGTGCAACATGATTAAATGATACAAGAAAACTATGTTCTCTGAATAAGTAATCAGACTTTATTCTTCTGGCAGGTTTATTTCCTATAATTCCTGCTATAATTCCTATGTTGTTTAAACAAGCACATGATGCATACTATCAGTTAGATCTGATCTTTATTTTTTTAGGATGAGTGTTCAAGTAGATTTTTTAATTACATGTCTATCTCCAAGTAAAGATATTGTTTACCTTTACCAATCTAGCACTTCATGGAATGCAATGCATACTATCTGATATTCTCCTGATTCGACAAGTAACCTACGTTTTCTATAGGAGTTAATAATTATACTGTTATGTATTCTATTCCGAAGTACCTACAGCTGCATGATATATTCATGTATATATTCATGGGACACATATTCTTAATGTGAGTGATTGATTTTAGATTTTCTAATTTAATTAATTATCTAATAAATCCTACATTTATATAAATCGGGATAAAAGCAATAATACGGTCCCCTGAAACACCAGAGTCCATAGGTAGGATCTGATGCCCA